AGGGAATCGATTTTAATCAAACAACTCGGGTAATATTTTGATTTTTCGTGAAGAGGTAAATCGAGACCAATTCAACGCCATTGAAATATATTGTACTACTCTGACAGGATAATCATTGAGCATTGTGTGTTGTTACAAGTTAATGGATGCGAACGACTTTGCATATACCTATATAAGAGTGTGAAATATTCCAAAATGGTACCTATATAATATTATTATATGGTCGTTAATGATTTTATGAATAAATGGTTTATTTAAAGAGTGTATATATATATAAATATATATGTTTATTATATACTATACATCATACATCAAAGTAATCATACATGGTCTGTTTTCTGTGCATGATGCGCTCGACGAAAAAAACAAATTTTTATTGTTTATGAAATGAGTCTGGAGTACTGAAGCCGCTTCGAGTACAGTATTATTTATGTGTATTTCAAGTAGGTAGTCACGTGAAAAGTCGTAACTCGTAAGATATACTTGAGCACTAACCTACCTATTCGCGGCTGTTGGTTCTTTTCGGTTCATAAAAAAATAACGATAGTAATAATAATATGTCCGTGTGCCCGCAGCAGCTCAACGCACAAAAATAATACCTAGTTAATGATTTATCGATAAACGTCGTCAATAAGTTAGCTTCTTTGAATCGATAAAATATGTAACTATAACATGGTATACCTACCTATATCACAGTATTTTGTATACCAGCCCACCTTACCTGACTATTTATACCCATACCGGAACATCATACCTTTATTAATGGGTTGACTCATTAAACCAACTGTTGGTGGCGATTGGATTACAGAAGCCACTAGAAACCTTCTGGAAAATAATACGTTTTATTATACGTTGAAACTTTCATATAGTAAAACGAACTTCCATTTAGCAACCATTTTCTGTTTAACGAAATATTTTTGGGAACCATCATATACCAAATTAGAACCATATTTATTGAATTATTATTTTAACGAATTTCTCTGAAATACGATTTTTGTTTTGTTTTTGTTGCCCGCGAGAGTTTGTATTATGGCGAAATTTCACTGTTTTATAATATATTAACATGTATATAAATTGTGTACCACTAGACTTTATTTATGTTTAGGCCGTAAAATAGCATTTTAATAACGGTTAACATATATATTATTATATCCTGTTTTATCTATTCATATTTACGACGGATGTAGGTTTACTGCAGTTTTTCGCTTAACACGCATCTATCTGTAACTATAATTCCAGTACCAATACGTAGGTTTTTTTTAATAGCTCAGACATTTAGTTATTATATATGCGAACCATTCAAGACAATTTTATTTAGTCACACAAGTTTACAAATAAATTTACGAACAGTACCTAAGTATTCACACAGTATTCATTATAGGTTCGTTTTAACACTCATCACGAGAACATCTCTGTGCAATAATTATTCCCAAAGTTTGCCACGATAGTACTTATACCTAAAACTTATGAGAAATATTTCAATAGTTCATAGTACTTACACGAATGAGCATAAACATTAATGATTTTTTCTGCCATTAAAATAAGTAATAATGTTTTTTGAATATTAGTTTTATAGTCATATTATAAATTAAATAACGAAAACATTTTACATTTTCTCAGATCGTTGGGAAGATCTTTGATGTGTTCAAATAAAATATTTATAAGTATGACGAGTTATATTGTATGCATTAAGTAAAGCATAATATTATTCCAATACATAACTTACATTTTAAAAATAATGATATATAATATATATAATAAATTATTTTAATTCGTTTAAGACGTTTAAGTATACCTATGTATATAGATGTATTAGTATTATAACTATTTCACTTTTTTTTTGTCTGGTAAAACAAGACGGACGTGAGACACGTCGCTATTAAATCCCGGACAATCACTCATCTGGAATTCACACACAAGTTGAAACGTAAGCGCAAGACGATGACTAAAATATTCTTTACTCTGTGACCTGGGTTGATATTTAAAATTTAAATATCTTATAAGTACGGTAACACAAAAGAAGCGTCCAATAAATATAAAATAAAACATCATTAGCTGTACTTAATGAGACGTTTGTATTTCGAAATTCCTATAATTAATTATGAAGTTCAAAATTACGATTATTCGTTTATTATTCAGTTTGTAATTAATTTTAATAATACACTGATTGTAATTTGTCTTTTATATTAGTATTATATTTGCTATTTAATTGGACACTATGTTTAGGTCGAATATTTCGTTTATCATAAAACTAGTTGAAACTAAGTGCATGTTTATTAAATTGTAGTCCAACATTTTTACTTTTGAAATAATTGTAAGAAATCAATTACACAAAATATATAATATATAACTTCTACTGTGAGGAAATCGAATTTTTATTTACTAATACACTTTAAATCATAACAAAAATTAATCCTATTAACAACAAAATATGTTTTTGTAAAAATACTATTGTTAAAAAAACTATCTACGCTTTTGGGGCAGGGTCATAAATTGTACTTGCGTTTTTTATTTGATTTATTTTCTTATATTTAAACTTATTACTATATATCAACTATTTATAGACTATTATAATTTATAGAAATCTTTAGTATACCTATATTTTATTATATTTCGTTATTTAATTAAATATTTTAGATATAGAATAGATGTATATATAAATATATATATACGTATTTTGGTGAGTTATATTACTTATACAATATAATAAAAGATGTCTATTCTTTTTTTTAAACCTGTCATTCAATAGTATAACACTATAACTCTGTACAAGGTCGGAAATCAAACCATATTGTACTTAGGTTTACTACCTTTTGCAAAGTATCATATCACTCATGAAGATATTTTGTAATAAATAAAATGTGAAACTGTCAAGGTGGTATGGGACTATAGGTTAACAGATAATAGAAATCGCACTACAATACCGTGGAAAATATAACGATAATCAAGAAATCTTTTATCAATAAATATCTAGTTTAAAATTAAATTAATGTTTCTTTATAAATTATTATACTTAATTTTTAATATTATAACTACATTTTTACAGTAGCTAGTTAAGCAATTATTTTATTTCACTGGCTAAATAATAAAAAATACTCATTTGTACATAGTTTGATTTATTCGTATGCTTATACTATAGTATATACATAGTTTCCATACTTAAAATATGTGTTAACATACTTGTATACAATATTATTGACGTAAAACAACGTGTATAAACTGCACAACTATAGTAACGTTTAATAATAAATTAGGTAGGTAACACATAAACATTATGAACAGTTTATATTATGACGCATGTAACTGAGAACGTTTACCTATATATATTTACATAATATGTTTTATTGGTTGAAATATTATGCGTGTTTCGAGCATAATATTTTATCCGAGAGTTGAGATTTTTCAAAATTTGCGTATTGAATTTCAATGATGGATTGATTAGTCAAATTGAATAAATTCGGAAAAATAAAAATCATTTTTACCATGGACGTTTATGATAATGTTTCTCGTGCACCCTAAATAATGTAAGTGTATAAAAGCAGATATAGATTATAGACAAATAATAATCAACATTCAGCATTGTAAAATATGGTGTGCAATGCGTTTCTAGGTTTATTATAGGTACCTACTTATGCGTTTGTGATTATGTCCGTCAAGGTAACGTTACGTACAGTTTAATACAGTATACCTAGTATTATGTATACAAACATTACGATTTAAACGCAATAGGCAATAGGCAATATTATTATAGTTTCAGCGCACTTGATTGAATTTTAAATTTAAATGTAATGCGTAACAATAATATATCTATATGCAATAATATCTTGAAGTCGAGTGTCTTTTGTTTTGTTTTTATTTGTATTATATAACTCATTAGGTCTTCTTTATTAGTAAGAATCCATTTAATACATTACGCATAATTAAATAATTATCTCTTTTTGATAGTAAAACACGTTTTTCTTTCATAAAGAACCCTTATTCGGTATTAATAAAAAAATTCGAAGGTATAAACGTACTGATGCGTTATAAACTCTAATGATATTAATGTATATAGGTATTTAGGTATATATATTATACATTTTTTTAAATGTTTGTTTTTTGTAAGTAGAAGATACATATTAATTTATTATACATATATATTATATACACTACCTATATATGTACACGTATATTATATATATTATCATATTATTCTAATGTTTTATTTTAAAGTCGAATGTATATTATGATCGGGAACGTTATTACATACTATAAATATGTATTTTTCTTATGACTATAATACCTATACGTAACTGGATAAATTTGTATAGCATATGAATTATCTCTCAAATAATAAATTCATTAGGTACTGATCATTTTTCCAACGAATCTAATTACAATAATGTATAAACGTCTTCTCTTCAATTTGTGTACAATATATATACCTATATTTATTGTGTGTGTGTATTTCGTATATTATCATAATAATTTGTCGTGACCAGCTCAAGCTCTGCAGAACTCTCATTCGACCCTAACTCGACGCGGTACGACTTGAAAAGTTTACCTACCGGCGACGTTCGGTCGGAAGAAAATAATCATTATTATTATTATTATTATTATTATATCGTATTACCAGCTAACACTATCGCGTGTAGGCGGTATTAAACGATTCGTCGTTCCCATATCCGTGTACACACGTAATAATATTATCATCATTATAAGACGCGCGTGTGGTATCTTGTATACATAAATGTACAATACTATATCAAGTTGCACGGATATAATATGTATAAGTACTAAATATTTTGACGTAGGTACGCCAAGAGGCAAGAGACTTTAACGCAGACCCTCGTGTGCGCGCGAGCAAATTATATATGCATTGTACAACAATAGCGATACAATATCGGTATTTTATCACTTCGGCCGTGTGCAAAAAACAACTATGATAATATAACAACTCAGTCGGTATATATATATAGATACATTATACTTAAATAAGTGAATACAAAACATAGACTCACTGAGATTTCATTCGTACGATCATCTCAGACGGATCGCGATCGTTGTCGCTATAACTGCAAGTTCAATCGTATATATTCGCGATGTATATACGTACAGCACTCACTCGCGCAAGAACTCCGGCGGTGGATATAATTTCTATACGATTGCGATAAACGTATGTAATGGAACGTAGTATTTAAAAATTAAATTAACACTCGACGAGTCGCGAGTATATGATATATAATATAATATTATTATTATATATTACACCGTCGTCGTACGCCGATCTCGGCCGCGTGTCCCGGTCGAGACGAACAAGATTACGGAGTCATCGATGACTACAATATCACACACGGTGATGGCCAGGCCGCGGTTCGCGTCACACTGAACGCTGCTCATTCAAAAAAAAAAAGAACACAACAAAACGTAGGAACACACGAATCGGTCTGGTCGACGGCCGTATGCAAGCGGCGTGTCCGCAGTCAACTCCCACTACATTACAATAATGTTTATGCGTGTATATATTATAATGTATATATACGACTGCATCGCTATAATATAATATACATTCGTTCTGGTAGTGGAGGTGAGTATTGTTGTTACGTCATCACGGCGAGACCCACTTTTCTTGGGCGGCGTCGTCGTCGTCGTCGTCGTCGTCGGTGTACTTACCTATATATTTATACGATGTATATTATCATAATATATATACGCACCCATCGCAACCCGCGAGATCAGATCTCAAAATCCCGGAATACCTATGATTTACAATAAAACCAGGTACCCATACGATATTATGTGCAGGCCCGGATAGAGCCGGCGAGTTGCCGAGTTGAACTCGGTGGGCCGGCTTAGTTGTTATATTTATTATTAATCTATGTCAACATTACTGCTTAATATAATATGTATAATTTTTATTGTATGATATATGATGTTATTGTTAAAATATGGATACCTATTAATGACTTTATCTTATTGAAAAATGGGCCGTTAACTTTTTTAGGGCCGGTTAAAATCGTAAAACTCGGTGGGCCGATACCTTGCCTATCCGGCGCTGATTATGTGTATATATGGAGCTGTTATAGCTCTGAACTATGACGTCTCTATATATATTATATTATATCGAAACGACACATAATAATATTATACCCGCGGAACATCATACAATTATATTAAAACATTCGAAATTATATACTAAAATTTTTTACAATTATTATCGTGTATCGTATCATATACAATACATACGTATACCTAGTGTATATATGAACGTAATATAATTGGGTACCATTTTATTTTAAACTCTTACTGTATATCTTGAAGTGTATTTTATTAATACATTTTTAAGGACAATAAGGTATTACAGACATATACGCATGTATGGGCTTATGTTTTAAAATAATTGATTTTAATGATTATACTATTATTACAAATCATACACTAATATTTAATTTAATTCATCGTTAAATTTTTATTTACGATTACGACCGTTTACGATTGCTTTTCTGATGAGCAAAGCATACGAGTAAATGGACCATTTGTAGGAATCTCCAGGCACTAAAATGTTCAATTATTTGATGAGTTATGTGGCCATCGCCTAGCGCTGGCCGCTAAAATTTGAATTTTGATTTAATGGGAGGTATATTGTTTAACGCCTATAGATACTATTCTAATCATAATAATGTATACGGACATGTGGTTACAAAAAACTATATGGACATAGATATAATTATAGACGGCAATCCCTATTTTGTCTATATTTTTGCATAATAATGATGTGAACAAATATACTGCTTATTATACTTCGAGGGTTGTCTCGGTTTGGCCGGAACTGTATAAGTTTTAACAATATATAGCGTCTATATATCCGTACATAAATTCTCTATATATATGTTACGGGCAAAGTGGAAAATTCGGGCAATGTATACAATGTCCGGGCATTGTACACAGTGACCGGGCATTTTATACAATGTCCGAGGTATATTGGGCAATGTAAATTGTGAAGTATTTATACAAATAATCTGCATAATATATTTTGTTAGATGATAATGATAAACTAATATGAATTTATAATCGACATCTGATTGTGCTTGCATGTTGATCAAGTCAATTTCACAGCGAGAATTCATTTTAGAAGATATGATTGGTTTTACAACCAACCCTTTTTTTTAGCTGTACTTCCCTTCTTTTTACACGATTCGCAATTATTTAAGTATACCATTATTACATCTCTAGTTATATTTTTTTACTTTTTATTAATCTCGTGTTCCATTCTATTTCTACCTCCATGTCCAATTGACAAATGAACTTCATGTATAATATCATATAACTGAACATTATGCACATAATATTTTATTGCATTACCTTTAAATACATTTAAAATTTAATTGATTAAAAAAAAATTATAATACTCATATATAAATAACCATATAAACGAGTATAATAATTATTAGTATATAATATCATTGATTAGGTAAAATAATATTATGCAGATTATTTGTATAAATACTTCACAATTTACATTGCCCAATATACCTCGGACATTGTATACAATGCCCGGTCACTGTGTACAATGCCCGGACATTGTATACATTGCCCGAATTTTCCACTTTGCCCGTAACATATACACCGATAAAGCGTTCCCATTTATTTCGGAATTAATAACTTCATTAATTTATGTAAGTACGTTCTTGTATTAAACATTTATAGTGCAAAAATAATATTGTTTCATAAAATTATAATATAATAATATTTAAATTAACTGACAAAGTATATTTTCAAATAAATATACATTATAAACTTTTTACATTTTGTGGGCATTAATTTATGTATAAACATTTTCTATTTTATAATTTATACATTTAAATATTATAATATATGTACCTATTAAAAACAATTTAAATGTTTTGTTAATTAATTTATACTTTGTATGCCAACTGCCCGGAAGATGTGGCGCAGCTGATGGTGTAGAGGTGTCGTCAACTGGTGGTTGTCCGCGGAGGAGTGGTAAAATTCTTCCCACAAAAAATATACAACAGATGTTTGTGCCGGTCTAAGTAAAATATAATATAATATAGTAACCCAAAATACCTACTTATTGTCACTTGGAAAAAAGGACGTCTGGTGTTAAAAAAATTACTTTGTATAATAATATATTATAATATATAGGTAATTCATCACAGGTTTGTTGATATGTAATTTGTTTGTACTGCTTTTTCAGTGCCTACATAGGTAGGTATCATATATATACACACACAATATACCGTCAGATAATTTCCCTGAGAGCGCTCGCGATATTCGACTAGTGTGTCTCGAAATTAACCGAAATAACGCGATTTCGGTTCACTATTATTATCATCGTCACCATCATCAATCGTGATCACGATGATCATGATCACGATACGCGTATCACTATTATTATTTATATTTATGTGTGTGTGTGTGCTTCGAAAATCGTTTACAACACACGCCAACCGCCGATCGCCATATGTACACCGCGACGAGTGCGTACATGTAAATGCGTGTGCCGTGTGCGTCATCGATATAGTATAAAATATAATAGTGTGTTCGATTATGGTTCGACTGGACCATTTCTTGACTCTGGACCGCCAATTACTGTTATTCGCATAGGTTCCAACGAGTAAATGTAGGTATATACTATATAGGTACCTGCAGATACGTCATCATAGGAACACACAGTGTTTTTCGCATGTTCGCCGCAGCAGTCGATAACTGTTTTTAGCCATTTAATATGTTTTCGAAACATGATTTTGGAAAATCAGAAGGCACATCGATGGAGATACATATTGAGCAATATTTTATAAAAACCTAATTGATATTGGATCGGCTTACCGCCGCAATCAAAACTGTTGTTTTCGTTTTCATCATTATTTGAACCTAAATTGGGTATGTGTATGTCGGAACGCCGTACATATGACACCAGACAATCACGCGTAAACAGTGGGTGGTCGGAGGTTCTTTCACCTCCCCCCCCCTCAAAGCAATGGTTTACGGAAAAAAATTGTTTGATATTTTGACTTTTAATATTCAACTCGTATCGGTTCTAATTTATGTATAGCCCCTCCAAAAACCCATATAATAGGCATTTTAGGCACTGTGCCTATGGGGTCCATCCGACCCAGAATGGACACCCTATAGCTGTGTGGCCTGTATATGTAACGACATAATGTGTAACACATGAGCATACAGCGTGGCGGCACGGCGTTCTACTTTATACTTTATAGCTGTATTGTACATTTATAAATGTTTTATCGAATCGGTTTTTGGCGGGCCGCGCGCCTCGGGTGAAGAATAAAAAAAACCACTTCTGACGACGTTATAATATACGATTATTATTATTATTATTATAGGTTTATAATAATATTATATTATATATATATATATATATATATGTTATTAGATATCGCGCAATAATATCACGCGATCTTTATTCGATTATGATTACCTCCCGGGACACGGCGTTCAATTAATTATCCAATACACGACTGCACGCCGCTACCGGTCTTGAGTCGTTTGAATTGCGTTTAAATGGCTTTCCGACCGCTTAAATAATAAATGTGAACCTATAATTATTTTTTTTTTTTAATGCTCGTAATACTTATAATCGGGCGAGGAAAAAATATGCGTTTTTTTTTTCAAAATTTCGATATTTTTGAATACAACGCCGAACACTTTTCTCCGGATTAACCGCATTTAGTTAAGACTATACCTAGTAAATAATTCTAAATTTCATAGCTTAAGCAGTATTCATTTATTCAAATTTTATTTCCAATTGGATTTAAATGTATAATATACCTATATTTTAAACATATTTTTACCACATTCAACCGTTAGGAATTTCAGCTTTTCCTTATAATGAGAGTATTTATTTCCTGGTTTCAGTTCGACGTTTATTTTTTAAAATATATACTAAAAAAACTTCGGTACAAACTGGTTTTTATATTAATTGTCTGTCAACATAAATACTTGATGTCACCACTTCACCAGCTTTAACACATTATACGGTACCCTTCAAAATCATCATAATATATTCGTACACTTACAGAATGAAAAACAAAAGACGCTCATCCTCCTCTTCTATGGGCGATTAAGTGAAATAATTTTTAATTAAATGATTTATACTTATTAATAGATTTTCAGTTTTCTATATAGTAAAACCTAAACATTGAAAAAGGTTACACTTGTTTCGTTCCAATTAATTGCTTATAAAATATATCATATTATACTTCTTAATATGGAATTTATTAATTTAAGTAATTTATTTCGTTTAATATACATACACATTATTCATTTGATACAATAACAATATAATTATACTCGTATATATTTTTAAATTATATTCAGTGTACAGTTTTTCAATGACGATCGATGTATAAGCCGACCGTACGTTATTC